ATATCTGCAATATCTAAATGAGCTAGTTTAGTTTGCAATATTACCGCATTTATTCCGCAATGGATATCGCTAATAAATTTTAAGCATTTTAAACCAAAATTTTCATTTAATACACTGTGTATATTTTCCTTATTGCCACTCCCAAATGTTCCTTGTATTTATTCAATAGTTTCTTCTACGAATCCTAAACTTTAAATTAAAGTCAGTTTTATTGTTCCCGGTTTTTTTATCGTACCCTTCAATTAATCCAAAGTTAACCGATTTATAGAATAAATTACTTGGGAGTTTGTAATTTACACCAAATTAAAGATATGTAATTTGCACCACTGCACATGGTCGAAAATTGTGTTTGTAATTTGCACCATAATAAGAGTATGTAATTTCACCATCCTCAGGTATACAACTACAGATATATATATACTACTACTACTACTACTATACTATAATCGAAAGTAGAATTTATAATTTGTACCAAAATGAGTATTTATTTATTCGATTATCGAACATTCAATATTATAATATTCGATTATTTCTTGGTATCCTTGTCGACGTCGAGACCAGATAAACTCGAATGAAAATAATAATTGTTTGGGATTTTTCGATTTATCTGGAAATATTTAATTTATTTAGATATTTAGACAATATCGTGGGAAGGGTAGAAAACTTTTCAACAATGGCACGTTTTATGCGCCGTGGTTTAAATCAGGGGTCGGCAACCCGAGGCCCGCGAAGCAATTTTCTATGGCCCGCACAAAGCTGGTTAATTTTTGTGTTTTATTTTTGTTCAATAAAATTTTTCACACAATTTTCAATACTATTCAATTCTTTATTTCTTTATAAATTAAATCTAATCTAATCGTTAATAGTTTATGTTTATTCTATATAGTTATATAGTCAGTTTAATCTATGAAATTATTATTATTATTTAATCGGAGTTGAAGATAATAGGATAAATTAAATATACTTATATATATTTAAAAATTAAAATTTTAAATATATTTAATCTATGTATTTAATACATATGTATCAAATATATCTAATCTATGGTTATAGTTACTTTGCGTTTGTAGCAATTAGTACTACGCTCGTACGTGTGACTGTTTGCGTTTGTAATAGTTTCATTTTAAAAGTAAATCCAAACATTATGGCGACTAAAAAAAAAGAAAAATTTGTGATGAACATCGTTTTTATAATAATTCTTGGTTTGATTTATACTTTTTCGTCGAAAATAAAGGTAAGCCATCATGTTTAATTTGTCAAAAAATTAAATTTTTTCTCAAAAGCAATTTTTTCCAGTAACATTCATATTTTTTACACTCATATTTCTATGTAAAATAATCAAATATAATAGGAATACAACTATTAGTATATATCATATGTAAAAAAAATTTTTAATGTGGCACTTGATAAACATTTGAAAAAAAAATATGGCCCGCGTGGTTCAAAAGGTTGCCGATCCCTGGTTTAAACGGTCACGTAGATTTCGTGGACCAAAAAAAAAAATGAGATTGATATTTTTTTTATAGATTAACAACTCTATAATAATTCACTCGTCGAATGTAAAACATAAATGTGGTACAACGGTGTACTTCAATTTTTTATGGCGCGTTACGTGTTTATAAATAATACGCTTGTAGTTTTAGAACATACTCGTACAACGCTAAAGCTTATTGAACATCTTTACTGCTTAAAGTAGATGCTTTCCAGTTGCAGCACACCAGTGCGTTGTATAAATATCACTGATCGTTAATATTGACGAAATGAACGCGATTTCTATCATCGGTGTATCTGTAAGATATACGGTTAACTTCGTAGTCACGGCATCGACTCGGCGGCGCTATTGGACGACCTTAGCCTTCAACGCCCGAAAAACGATTTCAAAAAACTTCTAGAAAAATAATATTAGGCAACTATTGAGTGACATGGTCCCAAACGGTTTTCATATGATTAACCATCGAATGGTTGAACTAGTCTATTCAAACAACTATGTGTACTCCCTTAACTATTTTCTTGCGCCCTGGGTCTCATGACAAAAATTAAACGTTTAAAAGACATGATATAATGTGGCAACTAAGTAAAATGCAATTTCGTAATATTTCGTATACCAATAACGACTAATAAGATTAATTTTAAATTTAAACACTTAATCGATATACTGTTTATAAACTATTAATTTATTTAGGAAATTTATTATGGTAATTATTTATTTTCATTTACGTCCTGCCAAATAAATGATATGTTCACTATGTTAATATACGTTAATAAACCGTAGAACAATGGTTCCCCAGGGAGAATTTAGGGTTGGCTGGGGGGGAGGGAGTAATGTGATGATGAAATTACGAAAATAATCGTTATTTTAAATCTCCAATGTGTAAAATTTAAATCGATATATATTTTCAAATTATTCCGCATCGATAACAGATGGTAGCGGATAGACTTTTCGCATTAAATCTAATATTGATGCGTACAAAGTTTGATTCACACGACTAAAAATCGCCTGAGCTCTAATTCAAGGAGGGGGGAGGGAAATGAGATTTTTGATAACTTATCAGGGGGCATAGGATGAAAAAGGTCGGGCACCGCTGTCGCAGAACCAGTCGTCGGTGGTACACACCGCGCCGTAATCAAATCTGTTAACATTGTTATCGATCGATCTGTCAATACGGTTGTTTCGGAATCGTTTCACGTTATGGAAAACCGCGGCACGTTGCGCGGCTCGGGGTCCGGCGTACAGCGAACGCGTCGTACGTGTATACTAGGGTGCCACTCAATTATATGGGCTAAAATAAAAAATTGTTTTACCAATATCTAACTTCATCATATTGATTTATATGTTATTAAATGGTTGTTGTAAAAATATAGTGCAGATAATCACATATTTCGAGGTCGCTTAAGCATATCAAAGTTTTATACTCGTATGATTTTCTGTTAGGTACCTACTTTTCAGAATAAAACCGATTGTCTACAATAAATACATATTTATTTCTATAAATGAATATTTCAATATAATTCATATTTGTACAGTACACAATAAAACGTCTTATAAAAATTCAGTAACGATGTTAATAGTTATTGTTATGTTATTAATGATGTCAATGTTAATAATAAGGCAATTCGCAATAAACTCGTTGCGGACGACTATCAAGCGTACAAAAAATGTTTTCGACGTCCAACATACGCGATAAACGCTGCGTGAACGAACAAATCGAATTATTTTTAATTCAATCAGCGACTGGCGGGCAACCCGTCAAGTACGGCTACGTAAAATACGCAAAATGTTGTTGCCAAAAAAGCCCGAGCGTCAAAAAAATAAATAAAAACATAACAAAATAACAGGTTATTCCATTTATAATTGTTAGTTCCAGTCTCGTAGTGTTCAGCATGGTACGTGATATGTACATACCGCATGTGTATTATTTTTTTCTGATAACACACGCGTTGTAAAATCAAATACGTTTATCGTAAAATGTGTGTTGACCATCTATCCCGTATTAACCCGTCCCGGTCTCGACAGTGACGGTCGATGGAGTTTTCACCATAGATAAGTACCACGGTTTTCGTACATAACATTAAAAAGTATCGTATTTCTCTTTTTACGTTTTCTCTTCTTCTTCAAAAAAAAAAACACACGGGCCCATATGAAACTGGTATAGGTATGTCCTATCCATTCTTATTCATTATTATCTATGGTTTCTACCGCATCCGTTGCCATTTCGAACGCTGTATGTAAATCCATAGGCGTGCGCAGAGTTTCAAGTCGGGGGCAGCGAATATTTTTATCGAACCATATATGAGTATTAAGTTAACATTTTTAAGCTCAAATTTAAGCTTATTTAAAGTTTAAACACAGAAAACATTTGCTTGGTAACAATACTCTTTTTGGATAACCAACTTATTTTGTATTAAGCATTACCGGTCCAGCTTGGACCAGTTCGGCCCTTACAAATATATTCAAACCGTCCAGGGGCAGCAAGAGCACACCTTGCTGCCCCTGTGCGCACGCCTATGTGTAAATCCTTGACAAAAATAAGCGATGTTTGTTTGTATTCTCCTGACCTACTAATAACTGTTCTACGGGAAGTTCTTCTTCGATCTCTTCAAAAAGCAGGTATGACACGTTCGCTCATCATGAAACCGAATTAAATTTAACAAATTATTATAAATTTTCTGATGAGTCCACTGTAATCCACTAGTCGCGTACGACTGACGCTCCGTAAAAATCGTACCGGGGCGCAGTGTTACCACATTTATCATTCTGGCAATCGCCAATTTGTTTTGATAATAACGCCATCTACCGCCAAAATTAAAAACTATCGCTATCTACCGCCAAATATAAAAAAATATATAGCCAAAATCATAAAAAAATTTATATTTGAAGCCACTTCGTTGTTTAATTTTAATTTGGCTAACACCATTATGTATGAATTATGTATGGTAACATATAACATAGTTGTATTTTATTATAAGTACATTTGATTATAGAATAGACTATAGTTTATTCAATAGAACATACCTATGGATAAATTCTTCTTAAAAAAATTTCTCAACAGGTAAATACAAACCACATAACTAATAAAAAAAGTAGAAATTTTCTAAATTTTTTTATTATTAACTTTTGGTTATAAGTATAATTTCATAGGTATAAAACATGGTAAAATCTAAGACCTACTTTAAACAACAAACAAATAAAATGATAAATCTTTAAATATAACAATAAAATCAGATAAACAATCAAAAACAAAAATAACTATTATTAAAATATCATTTTTTTCTTTTACTTTGTAAAAACCACTACTGTAAACAAAGTAGTAATTTTCTGATTTTTTTTTTAATATGAACTTTTATAAATATAATTTCATATAAAACATAGTAAAATATAATACTTTCAACAACAAACAAAAAGACAAATCATTCAATAGACATAATAACAAATGTTATTATGTCTATGGGGAGATCGGTCTTCTTAGACATTGACAAAGGTTTTTTTATTTTTCTTCAGAATTGATAACAAAAAAATTTTTCTAAAATAATTTATGATAGATATAATATTATGAATTTACGCCACTTTTTTCGCCATATCTTTTCAAATATCGCCATTCTTAGAGCCAATCGCCAAATTAAAAATTCGTACGCCATATAGATGTGAAATATCGCCACTTTGGCGATTTATCGCCACGTCTGACAACACTGCCGGGGCGTGCGTCAGTCGAGTGTTCGTTTAACGCGTCATACGAATCGCAACTCTGACGAGCGTGAAGTGGCGCGGGTCGGGCGATCGCGGCGCGGTTCGGGTCTTCTCGGGAGTCCGTTCGCGACGGCCGAGTCGACGAGCCGCGCCAGTTGCTCGGCTCGTCAAACCGGTTCAACGCGTTCCCGTGTACGCCCGTGGCTCGTGTACGTTTTCCGCGTGAACATCGCCATCGTTTACTAGTTTTTCTTTTTTCTTTTCAGATTCATTTTCGGTTTCTCAAAAGATATCGTTGTGAACATGAAGTGGACAAACGAACTAATCATGGAGTTCCTCGAGCTTTACGAACGAGAACCTTGCATCTGGAATCCCAAACATCCGCGACACAACCTTCGGAGCGCTGTGCACGATTCGTGGAACAACATTTCGAAAAACTTCGGTCGCAAACTCACAATAGCCGAACTGAAAAAAAAAAAAGATTCGTTGATGGCCACGTTCAGAAAAGTCGAAAACAAAGTGAAATCGAGCGAAAAGACGGGTTCGGTCTATGAACCTAATTGGTTCGCGTATGAATTTATGGCTAAATTTCTGCGCGGCTCGTGCCAACCATATGAAGCTAAGAACAAAGAGGTAAAGTATATAAAAATATAAATAATATACAAGCAACTTTATTCGTATAAATATATAAACACAGCGGACTGCTCATTCTGTGAGTTGCTTTGCGGCACCGTTTACCTTTTCAATACATTCGTACGTAGCTTATAAATTGGAAATAAAACAAACCGTTCAATAAATAAATAACTAAATAAAATGCTATTATTACAATATTAATGATTATTTGTTAATTATAAATATAAATTAAAGTGTACTATGTGTCCCGTAATATCGATAGGTATATTTGTATACAAGCGTCTAGAGACAGAAATCGCCGAATGGGTGCAAGATGGCGGCCTTATGCTCTTATCAATCGTATCTCTTGTTCTTCAAACATTTTTGATTTTTACGCAGAAGAACGATTATTTATATTGATATTTAAAAATATATTAACCAACATTCATAGTTTATAATGAAAATTAATTAAATTACAATTAAATATCAGAATTGGTAAGTGTAATATAGTTGGTTAAAATTAATTGTCATAATATTAATTATATAAAATAATAAATAAATATAATTGTTTAGTAATAAAATATGTTATGTATAATATGCATTGACCATTTTTACAATTTTACACTATTCTCATGTATCAAACTTTGTGTCTTGCTTTCGTTCATCAACATTAAGAATGAACTTATATTATTCTTTTCGATTGTTTTCGGTTGTAAAATAATAGAAGTTTTTGTGGGTTTTTTAATCTTTTTGGTAGAAAAAAATCGACGCTGATGTATGATTTTCTTACTTATTGATGAAATATTGGAACATTTCTAGTTTACGGGACACCCCAAAATTTGGCAATTTCTTTAGGGGACTTAGTCATATTTTGGGGGAAAAAAGTAATGGTGAAATTGGAATTTGGCGTAAGAACTTAGTTTTGAAGTTATAGTTAGTTATATAAGGTATTACAAATAAATATTTTATTACACAATTTAAAAGGTCTACTATAATTAAAGCATAAAACTGATAGCAAATTGACAAATTCAAGCTTTAAATAATAATGATTAAATTAATGAAATAATATTATTGGATACCATAGACTTTAAAAAAAAAAGTGCAAAAAGTTTTCACGAGATATGGGGGAGATTTAAACTCGTGAAATTTACTGCCTAGAGATAGTTTTATTGCCACTGGGCTACAGCATCGCGGTTTCAAACATGTATGTTGTATGTATATAAGTTATTTAATATAATATATAGTAATTTTGAAGTGCAATAACTTCAAAACTATGTCCGAGCGCCAAAATCTAATTTTACCATAATTTTCAGCGTACTTAACTATATATGTAAAAAAAAAAAATTGCAAAAAATAAGGTGTCCCGTATAGTAGAAATATACCGAAATATTTAATGATCATTTTTTAAAGGTTTTTTTCAATGCTAATAATGTAGGTTGTACAGACGACAAACATACCTTCAATAAGTACATAGTTTTTCTTAACTTGAAACAATATTTAACATTGTAACAAATAATCATATGTTTTTGTTTTTTTTATTCTAAATTTCCTATTCCCCATGTAATACTTCTATATTATTCAGTTGAGATACAACAATTTGTATTACTACATATTTCTCATTAATTTCATCGATGCATTCTCTAGAATTTTGTGGTAGTAAAAAAAAAAAATTAATTTTCACATTTTAAATATATATTGTTGGGTAACCCAGTATACGCAACAATATCTATTGTTCAGTAAACTACTGTTTGATCTCGAATGTCGAACCCTATTCCCTAGAAATAACTGAATCAATACACATTAAATAATTTCATCCGAGAGTATGGAGCACGTGTAAGTTTTGTATTATATGCGTGTACTTTTTTTTTATTACTTAACATACTAAATTGTGATTAAATTGATTTTCTTTTTTCATCCAACAATGTATAATAGTAAACCAGGAGTCTTCAACTTACGGTTAGACCCGTCAAGCTTTTCAAACCGGCCTAGTTACTTGATATTTTATCAATATTATTCCAAATCTGAAAATATGTGCATTTCAATATTTATCTCCACTTACTTATGTGAACGGACGTTTTTAAAAAATTAAACACGTAACATCTAAGTATATTTAAGTACAACTAACTTAAACGACGAACATTTAGAAGCGATGCTGTTGATTGGAACAACAAAGTTTTATGCAAACGTTCATGAAATTTTAAAATACAAGCAATTCCAAGTATATCATTACGTAACTTACTCATATATAAATAATAATAATAAAGTTTATTGCAACAACATCAATTTAACAAGTTAAATATATAATAAATATTTAAAATAGTTGCAACTCATCCTATAAGCAAATAAGCTTGAATGCGGATGAGTTGAGTTCAATTAAAATATAAAAGGTGAAAGAAATATTAAATTACAAATTAAAAGAAAATTAAACAAAACAATAAAGAAAGTAAACTAAATACATGATTTTTATACTGATTAAAATTAATAAAAGAAAAAATATTAATGTTATAATAGCGTAATAATAAAATACCATTAATAATAGTACTTTGATTACCAAATTTGTTTTATTCAGGGGAACATTTAGGTTGTTATTATATTTTAGTCTAGTATTGTAAACATGCGATGGTTGAAAATCCTTAATTAAGTTTTTAATTTTATACATATATAATAAAGTTTGATATTTGAATGATAACATAAAAGGTTTAACATTAAACATTTTATAATAAAATTGTAGAAAAAAATCTTGGTTTATAATTTGTTTTATAAATAAAACAAATTTTGAATTATAAAAATAAATAATATAAAAATGAAAATAAATATACATTTTTCTAAAATATAAATAAATCTTATCCAATAATTTCATTATTTTTCTATCATCAATTTCTTTAAAAAATGTTGTCTCCCGACGCAAAAACGTATCTTAAATCTGATCTGGACCGTCATAAAAAACGATTGAAGACCTTTGTTGTAGATACGTGGTATGTTTCCCCAAGACTTATTTTAGTCTTCATTAATAATGTATTAAAGTAATGGGTTATTTTGCTTAAAGGTAACATTGTGAAAACCGATAGTGTATTGTAATTTTAACTTTATCAAAGTATTAACTTTTATTTATTTATCATTATGAATTAACAGACAATACAAAATAAAACAATAAAAAACGAAAGTGACGAGAGTGGTACCAGTTTCATTGACGACGAAAATGAATGTGAACTCATTGAAGCCGAAGAAAAACGAACTACACCAAATAAAACTCTTAAAATTCCTACGGCACATTTTTCTTCGGGAACGTCTAAAAAGAGAAAAGCTGAAAAAATTAAACAAATGGAAAGTCTATTGAATGAAGCATATAATCATTCAAAAAATGCGCCAGAGAAACCCAAAAGGAACAAATGCTCACTGTATTGTGAGTTACTCGAACAAAAATTGGGTGAACTCGATGAACAGCTTCAAGAATATGCCATGCTTGAAATAGACAAGTTCGTTTATAGACTTAAGCAACGGAAGTATACATCTCAAAGTCACAATACCCGGTCTATAGAACCAGTCTGTACCATTCCTAAGCAACCATCTGTACTCTCTACATCGACTTCGACAACATATGCATACACAATACCATCTCCACGGTCTCAAAAATCAAACTCATCGTCTGAAGATATAAATATACTAGCCACATCGAATTTACAGTCCGAATGAAACTACGGATGATTCACCGGAAAATTCACAACCGTACACGATCTTTCCAAATTCTAAAACTGAAGAAAATCCAAAGGTGTAACAATCTTAATTGCTATTATGATATTTTTTTAATTTTAAAAAAAGAAATTGATTTTTTTTTTAATTTTATAATATTATTATTGCTGATATTGAACATTATTTTTTAACTAAAAGTCGTATTTGCGTATTTTTATAAGGAAATTACATGTTATTTTTACTTGATGTTTAATTATATTTATCAAAAATCAAAATACTCTACAATATGTTTCTGGTATTAAAATTTCTTTTGCTAAAATATCATTTATATACATCTTGAACTAATGCTTATTAAATCATAAACATTTAATGAACATATTATTGATTGCTTATGTATTGTCACATGCCTTAATTTCATCTTTAAATTCTTTAACCATAGCCTTACGTATATCATTAACACATCTTGATACGGTTTATAGTGAATATTCGAATAAGAATGACAAAGTTTGAAAACTATCTCCACTTGCTAAATACCTAAGTGTCACGGCTAGCCTATCTTTTATCGGAATATATTCTCGCATGTTCGTGTTCGTTTTTGAAATGAGAGAACCAGATTTTATTTAAAGTGAACTCGAAGTCTGTAGAATTAATTTTACGAACTTTCGTAACGGATCTGCTGTCAAATCATGCATCAGATCTCTTCCATTGTACCTAAAATACAAATAGATACACAAACGTAATGGTTGACAAATAACAAAATAATAATTGTATAAACATTGTTCAAGTATTTTTAGAAATGTCTCGTCAGACCATAATTTTAGGCACAATCACCCCCTAGTATTCATTGTATTAATGTTATGACAAGATAAGAGGTAGGCTTACAAAAAAATTTATTTAAATAGATAATGTGATAATGTGAATAATTTTACCTTTTTCGAATTTCACAGAAAGTATCCATCCAGTATGGTTTTTTTTTTTTTTGGAGGATTTGGTTCAGATATATAATTTTTTAAAAATTCACTACACACTATTATATAATAAGCCGCAACATTCGCAATTTCTTCTTGATTAGTGATTTTACAATATTATAATTGAAAGAATAATAATGCCACAGGATCGATACAGACGATAGACGGACTCTGAGTGGTTCGGCAACGAGTGCGTAGACGCGCCGTGGGATCGTCGTGACTCGTGTTGAGGAAATGTATGGGCCCGTCTAGGTACGGTACGCGAGCATTACACGAGCTCCGAGCCGCGACATGCACCGTGGGCCGGATCGGATTATGATCGAAATACATAAGGAGAGCTATTACTTTTGGCGAGGCCTTTTCACACAAGACAATTTCAGTTTTTTTATTCAGCTTTGGTAATTTGTTATAATCATTGATTTATTTTAAATAAGTGTAGTACATTTGTACATTGTAGTATCGTTACATTTAACTGATAAAAGAGTACTTACTTTTTATTTGCTAGTCAACGATTATAAAATACGTTTTATTGATGGTATAGAAAAATCGTATTTTATTTTGATTTTAACAAACACTTTTTTGCCATTCGCAATAAATATATGTACAAAGGTATTTTTTTTTTAATTTAATATATCATAATATTGCCAACCCCCCAACCGCAGTCCTCTTGATCAAGCTTTGGCCATGGCGTCCCGGATTAATCGATACGCACATGACGGACCTACGGCGGTGTTTGGATTCCCTTGACCGCAGCGAGTGTACACCCGTTCGTCATGTACAGGTTCTGTTAGTAAGCTTAATGGCACGGCGAATCGGAATATTTACGGACTTCCGACGGACGAATGCGTACACCCGTACTCGCGCACATGACGTTTCGATACGTTCCCGTGCAAGCATTTCCGACCAGAATAGCGGACCGGATACATTCCATACATTGCTAGAAATCACGGTTTATGATTATGTATAAGGTTTAAGGTATATATATATATATATATATATATATAAGGTATATCTTAACAGTCCCAGAGACCTTTAGTAAATCGACGGCTCTCATTAGTCGAATAACGTTTTTGATAACATTATAAAACCATGAGTTGTCTATGCTTTCAAAATGTTCTTTTAAAATGTAAAAATTAGTTTGAAATACAATATAAAATAATTACAAACGCATAATTTGTTGCCCATTTAAAACACTTGAAATAACGTTACAATTTTCATAGTTGAGAAAGGAGAACACACAAAAAACCTTTTGTAAGTTATTTGCTTCTGCTTTAATGTGCGAACAAAGGCAAATTAAAAAAAAAAAAAGTTGATTGCAATCATTTTATTAAATTGCATTGACATTTTTCTTTTGTTTTTAGGGTTATGTAGGATTGACAGAAATGTAACGGTGAAATACGATTGAGAATATTTTACCTTTCTGATCAAACTATTGAGAATACTTATAATTCACAAAGAACTTACCGCTTACTCATCAAATCAATACGATTGATGACGGATTTACGTGCAACATTGCCATAAAATAATTTGTGTTCCCTTAGTCAATAACAAATAATACAAATGAAACAAGTAGTAAAAATATTCTTATCGTAGTCATAAATTTAGTTATAATAAATTTAATAATATCAATAAAATGTGTTGGTACACCTATATGCTATATATCAATTCCCGGATAGCGTAAGCGTACATTATCATAATATTTTAGTAAATTGGCTATAGGTGAGTTGCGGCCCGACATGTCATTTACGTGTTGAAGACCGGTGAATTGCGGCCCGGTCATATTTTATCACTAAGTTAATTGCGGGCCCGGGAAATTTATTTATTTTCAATTTTGTGCCGGCAGTATCGGCAGTATCTTATCTAAAGTAGATACCATAACGTCAATAGTTCAAACGAAAAATATTACAGTGTTAGTCTGTTCACCACTTAGTATCTATATCTACGAAAACTAAAAATTCTGTTTGAGTGTGTTATACAGTTTATTATAAGTGCGTTATGGAGTTTGTAAATAGTGAAAAATCAAAACCAATTATTCTCTACGAACGCTACAAATTTCGTTTCCACAAAACACTAAAAAACGATGTACAGCAGTGGCCTTGCAGTGTCAAAAGTTGTAAGTGCTTTTTAAAATTATCTCCTTTAAATAAAATAGTTGACAGTAATACTAATCATAATTTTTTTTTTGGTTTGCCATTTTTGGATTCTGACAACGTCATTGATTGTTTCACGGATGACTTTTTAGCAATACTGCCCGCTAAAGATGATCAGGTTGTACAATTTACCGACTATGTTTTCGAAAACTATATATCCCCGGATGCTATGTTTCCCCCAAATATTTGGGCACAGTTCTCTGCTAGCTGTAACCGTACCACTAACGGCTGTGAAAGTTTTCATTCACACCTAAATTCATCGTTCTACTCTAGTCATCCTAACATCTATAATTTTATTGATGTGTTAGTAGAAATTCAATCAGAAACATATATCAAATGTAGAAGCAATGGAATAAAAACGAAGAAAATATGTGAAAAAGAAGCATTTATAAAACAACAGCTGACAAAGCTAGCACAAAAAGAAATAGAGCAGTTTGATTTCGTCAAATCATTAAGTTTTAAGTTTTTGCCCGACCAATAAATATATATATTTTTACATATTTTACATAAATATTAAAATTCATTTTACCATTTTTACATAAATAAAAAAAAACAAATTTTTGGGAGACGACTCAGCCAACCTCCTCGTGGTGTCTTCTGGGTAACGCTGATAGGCTGATATGAAGTGATAAATAAAATGTAAAATGTGGCCGCAACGCGTACGTCTGTTTTATAAACACGGGCCGCAACTCGCACGTCTGTTTCATAAATACGGGCCGCAATTCGTACGTTATTTAGGATCGGGCCGCAACTCACCAACACCGAGAAAATTACGCGAATTTGAATTTTTCACATACCACTTATATTTACTATTATTGTTTAATATTTTATCTTTTTTTTTTACGTCAATTCTTTTTTTCTTTTTTTTGTTCGGCCGTAGCGATATTAAAAACCATTTCGGATTGAGTTTCAATTAATATTTTAATAACGACAAATATTGCTGGTGAGGGCTATGCAATTGACTATTGAATTTTCTATGAAAACTTTCAGCGTCGTCCGTAGTCTTAGAATATTTTGAATTGCAATTCATTATTTTTATACTATATATTAATTAATAACGAAAGTTACCTAGGATTTTCCGAAAGTTTCAATGTCCACATTTTACATTGAACAGACAGCCAAGCTCTATATAATTGTTTAATTATATATAGTGATCTCGTATTGCTAAAATAAATCATGGGTATACGCCTTATTTCATAACTATCAAATGGTAGAAACCAAAAAAAACTCACTCATGAACTTAATCATGACAGTTTGATAACAGAAACTTGTTGTTAAATGATAACAAATTTGAATTTTTCATTAAAAAAAATAGAAATAATATATCCGATACCGAATCACGTCATAAATATAATCACAAGTTAAGTTAGTCAAAGTATTTTGTAGTTACTTTTCAAATTACAAGGTATATATGGCCGTATACCTGCGTATCATCAATGTCTCATAAGCTATACGCCATGGATAAAAATAGCGTATTAGGTATACGCCGTATACTCCCGTATACTCTCTAATACACCACTGATTATATAATCGAGTGTTTGACTACAATCAGTGGCGTAGCCAGGATTTTTAAATGGGGGGGGGGAGGCTAACCACTTTTTTGGATAAGTAAGGTAAGAGAGGATATGAGAATTCACCCACTATCTACCACCAAGTTTCTAAACGTAATTCAAGCATTTTAGTATAGTTTTAAAAATATTTATTAATATATAATTTATAATAATAATAATAATTTTGGTTTTAGTGTTCAGTCCCTTGCTCCACTCTGACAGCTGCATCCTCTTAGGTGAATTTCTGGCAAATTCAGTTATTATTTCACTATCATCGAATTGCTCTTTTTTTATTTATATAAGCCATATCTAACCCATTCAGTCTGTTTTCCGATATAGTGCTTCTTAAAAAAATTTTTAAGCGATTAAGTGCTGAAAACGTTCTTTCCGGAGTGAAAGAGGTAACTGGTAACGTGGCGAATAATTGTAAAAGTATTTTA